ATGATCAAGGTTAAAGTATATGATGAAGATTCATCATCCACAGAGTCTGCAGAAAAATGGAGAGCAGCTCTAGAATGGTATCTTCAAAGTAAAACATCGAACTTTACTACAGGATCCTGATTTAAGGTACTTCTTGGAAAGTTTAGAGCTGTCCAGAGCAGTTAATACATAGGCTCTAAGTGAAGCAGGAATATTGAGGATGATGAACTAGGCTGCCAACGCTGTCAACAAAATGACAATCAGGATGAATGAACTGGATGCATGGTTTGAAGAAAAGCAGTGGCAATTTGAGAATCAAGACCAGCAACTTAGGAAACTTCATGCCAGTGTTGAAGCCTTAGTTTGTCAGAGAAAATAACTTTCAGTCAACACAGCTGCCGTTGCTAAAAGTGCTGCCATGTTAGGTAATTTTGAAGATCGTATTGCTTTATCTAGAGCTTTGTCTCAGCTTGCAAAGGTTGAGGAAAAGAACAAGCTTTTGCTGACTTTTATATGTTTTCAGAACTACTTAGTGACTATTTCATCTTGTTGCTGCAGTGAAAGTCATGTTTGACCATCAAATTGCAGTGCTGGCAAAAATGGTAAGATGCTCAGATTACTTTGCTGAAAAAAATGTGAAACTGAGGCAAAAATGATGGTTGCTAACAAACCAGATAAAATACAGCAAGCTAAAAATGAAATATGAGAGTAGGAGGCAAAAGTACAAGGGGAAAGAGATTTTGAACAGATCTCTAAAACAGATTTGAGAAAGAATGAGAGAGGGATTTTAAAACTGTTATCAAGTACTTAGAATCCTTAGTACAAACACAGCAGCAACAGCTGATAAAATACTGGGAAGCATTAGTGAGGATGAAGAGAAACTGAAATCCTTATATATTATTACTGGGAATATAAAATAGTACAGATTCTTCCAAAGCCATTGACTAGCAATAAGATGATTCCTGTTAAGATGACATTGGATGTTTGTTGCAGTTATGCTGAATTCCACAGTAAAATCTTTTAAAACCATCTAACTAAACCACTATATATTTTACAAATTTTTAAAAAAGTACTGATAAAGAAGAGAGAGTCAACAAAACCAAAAGTTGGTTCTTTTTATTAGATCAACAAAAGTGATAAAACTAAATTGGACCGATGGGGAAAAAAGATTCAAATTACTAAAATTAGAAATGAAAGAGACACATTACTGCTGAATGTACAGAAATAAAAGAATGAGGGGAGAATACCATGAACAACTGTATACCAACAAGTTTGAATAACAAAGATAAAATGGATAAATTCCTAGAAACACACAAACTACCAAAACTGATTGAAGAAGAGATAAACATCTGAAAAGAACTATTATAAGAAAGGGGATTATATCATTAGCAGAATGCCCCAATAAAGAAAAGCCTAGAACCAGATTACTTCACTGGTATTCTAACAAATATTTAAAGAATTAATGCAAACCCTCAAACTATTCCAAAAAATTGGAGAGAACACTTCATTCTATAATGCCAGCAATACCCTGATATCAAAGCTAGACAGATTCTACAAGAAAAGAAAGCTACAGGTCATAACCCTTGTAAAGAAAGGCAAAAATCCTCAACAAAAATAACAAATTGAATTTAACAGCACGTCAAAAGCATTATAAGCCCAATCACATTACATTCCCAATCCAAAAACCTAAAATGATTTGAAATCTGAAACTTTTTGAGCAATGATGCTACAAAGATTTTGGATTTCAAAGCATTTCAGATAGCCAACTTTTGGATTAAGGATGATCAACTAGTAAAGCTTACACAAATATTCCAAAATTCATACAGCTCTGAAATCTGAAACACTTGCATCCTGAGCATTTTCATATGGGATACTCAACTAGTATATATTACAACCAAGTGGGACTTTCTCCAGGAATGTAAGAGTGGTTTAACATATGAAAATCAATCAAGGTAATACACAGAAACAGTTAAGAAAACATGATCATTTCAACTGAAAAAGCTCAATACTCCTTCACAATAAAAATATTCAGTACACTAGGAACAGAAGGAAACTTCCTCAACCTGTTAAAGGCCACGTACAGAAAGCCACAGCTAATGGCACAATCAATGATGAAAAGTGAAAGCTTTTTTCCTAAGATCAGGAACAAGTCAAGGACATCCTCTTTTTTAAGTCCTAGACAAGAAAAAGAAAAGGAATCCACATTAGAAAGTAAGAAGTTAACCATCTCTCCTTGCAGATGACATAATTTTCAATGTACCAAACCCTAAAGAATCCACAAAGTCTGTGAGTTAATAAACAAATACAGCAAAATTGGAAGATAAAAAATCAAAACACAAAAAAATTGTATTTCTATATGCGAGCAATAAAAAATTCCAAAAACAAATTAAGAAAACAATTCCACCTACAATAGCATCAAAACCAATAAAATACTTAGGACTAAATTTAATCAATGAGACAGAAGACTTGTTCACTAAAACTGTAAAATGTTGCTCAAAGAAATCAACGTAAACAAATGTAAAGATAGCACATGTTCATGGCCTGGAAAACTTAACATTGTTAAGATAATAGTACCCAAATACTACAGATTCAAATTCAATGCAATCCTTATCATAATCCCAATGGTATTTTCTGTCATTTTTACTATTTAAGGATAGACAGAAAATTTCATTCCAATATTCATTTTGAATTTCAAGGGACCCAGGATAACTAAAACAATCTTGACAAAGAAGAACAAATTCAGAGAATCCATACTTCCTGATTTCAAAACTTACTAAAAGGCTGGTGAAATAAAAACTCTGGTACTATCTGTATGGACAAACAAACAGACACCCAGACTAATGAAATAGAACTGAGAGCCCATAAATAAACCCTTACATCCATGGTCTACTATTTTTTGACAAGGGTGTTCAAAATCATTCAATGGAAAAGGACAGTCTTCTCAGCAAATGGTTATGGAAAAAAAATGGATATCATGTTCAAAAGATGAAGTTGAGCTGGGCATGGAGGTGCACGCCTATAATCCCAATGACTTGGGAGGCTGAGGCAGGAGGATAGTGAGTTCAAAGCCAGCCTCAGAAGCTTAGTAAAAGGCCCTAAGCAACTCAGCGAGACCCTGTCTTTAAGATATAAAAAAGGAGCTGGGGATGAGGCTCAGTGGTAAAGCGCCCTGGGTTCAATTCCTAGTACCCCCCCCCCCAAAAAAAAGGTGGACCCTAACTTTATACACATACAAAATGGATTAAGACCCTAAATATAAGAGCTAAAAATATAAACACCTTAAAAGAAAATATAGGGTCAAATATTTATAATCTGGGGAAACTGGTAATAATTTCTTAAATATGGCACCAAAATCATAGGCAAAAATTTAAAAAAATTAGACTTCTTTAAAATTAATAACTTTTGTGCATCACCAGGGTACCTTCAAGAAAGTGAAAGAAACCCCCAGAATAAGAGGAAATAATTACAAGTAACATAACTTGTAATGTTATGATGTCCCGAATCCATAAAGAATTCTAACAACTCAACAACAAAAAGACAACCCTACTTTTAAAATAGCTAAAGTATTTAAACATACTTCTTTAAAACATATATACAAATGGCCAAAAAACACATAAAAAGATGCTCAACATCATTAATCATTAGGTAAATGTAAGTTACAATGGGATACTACCTCACACCTATCAGGATGAATATAATAATAAAAAGGGACAATGACAAGTATTAGTGAGGATGAAGAGAAACTGAAATCCTTATATATTATTACTGGAAATATAAAATAGTACAGATTCTACAGAAAACAGTCTGGCAACTCCACAAAAAATTAAATATAGCATTTTATTCCACTTCTGGGTATATGTATTATACCCCAAAGAATTTAAAACAGGGACTTGAATAGATGTTTGTACACCAATGTTCATATCAGCATTATCCACAATAGCTAAAAGGCAGTGTCCATCAATAGATGAATGGATAAAGAAAATGAATATACTCATAATAGAGTATTATTCAATCACAAAAAGAAATGAAGTTTGGATTTATGCTTAACATGGATGAATGGATGAACCATAAAAACATGCCAAAAGAAATAAGCCAGACATGAAAGACAATTATGGTATGATTCCTCTTAAACTATCTAAAATAAGCAAAGTCATAGAAAAAGAAAGTAGACTAAAGTTATTAGGGCTGGGGACGGAGGGCCAGGGGTTAAAAATGACTTCAATTTCTCTTTGGGATGATGAAAAATTATGGAAATAATGACAAATGTCGTACAACTTTGTGAATGTAATTAATGCCATTGAATTGTACACTTGCTAGCTGTTAAAATATTGCCACTTAAACATCATAAAAATGTAAAGAAAAATACCTATATGAATTGTTCTAATTCAAAAAGATAGATAACTATAGCATGATAATAAGTAGTGTTTCAAACCTAAGTTGATAAAACATCAGAGTATAGCCACTCTATTTACCTAGAGTGATAGATTCAGTGTGTGTTACCATCACAACTTGGAAAGGATACAGAGGAGACATTTTCTCTTACCTTTAAGAACCTTGTCAGTTTAAGAGGATTCACAAGTATTCAAGGTTCAATATTTCTGAGTTTGAATTCTCTTCACAGCAGTTTTCAGGACCTGAATGATGTTCAAGTACCAATAAACAATAAAAACAACCCCACAAACACTTGTTTGATTGCCAAATTCCTCAGCAAAGTGAAGAAACATCCCTACAACTTCCAATGACCAAGAATTTTATGTAATAACTGGATGTATTTCTTCACCTTTAGTATGTAAGATTCAAACACAGATAACCATAGGCCAAAACTGCAACAAACCAAATATATATCCTATGAAATGGAAAATTTAAGAGTGCTGTTATATAAAATTACAGTAGAGATTATGCCAGCACTAATATAAAGCAGCTATCTCTTTTGGCAAGGAGACTTCATGATCTTACAAAGGAACCATTAAAGAAAATGATCTGACTTTGCACAGACTTCTTCCCAAAGAAAAAACTGTGACTCAACAAAATCACATTTTATACAACATGGAGATTTTGTTATTACAAATTTCAAAACAAAATGGAGGAATTTCCACATAATATTTATAACCTGCAAAGTACAATATTAATACATGTCTGTCAGTTAGAAATAACAGCAGTTTGTTAGGCTACAGGGTTTAACATAAAACCAATTTACAAATGTGAAAAGCAGTAGTGGTCCAATATTTACCATTACACATGAAATCTGTTTCTTCCAGAAAAATTTTTTAAATGAAAATTTCAGTATCATAAAATATTAAAATAACAACCCCAAACATGCCACAATCACTATTCACAAATAAAGTTAAAATGAAATATACAAAACTCACTTAATACTGTTAAATAACAACAATAAACTACAAGATTTCCTGAACAGAAATGGTAGGACCCCTGAATGTTTTACAGTGAATGTCAGGAAAAAATTAAGTTATGACTATTTTCATGATATATAAGGCAAAATTTACATGACCATTTCAAAATATACCAATTAAGATTTAGTTTGTAAGATGCAATAAACAATAGTCCTTAAAAGTGAACACAAAGGTTTAAAAACACTGTTACCAACACCAAAATGTGTTTATGATGTTCAAGGAGATGCATAATTAAAACTGTAATATTTAATATCTCTGATAAACAGATAATTCCTTTCAATGCTTTTTATCACAATCCTCCAAGTTCTCATTTCTCTCAATTGTTATTTCTCATGGCTCATTTCAAAGACATATTACAATATTTAGCTGATTCCAAGTGAATGTTATTGAAACACACAGCCCCCAAATGAAAAAAAAATTGTTCCCCAGTGAAGTATCATCCTAGTTTCTAATAAATGTATTTAAGAAAATGAGCAATACCTTTCATCTCAGAATAGACTTATGTGGTTAAGTTTTAACTAAAATTAAAGCACAATGTAAAACAGTTAAGTATATTAGTATATAAATATCCAGTAATATGTAGTAGACATTTCTAAAATGAGAAATAGATAAAATAAATAATTTTGGTGCTTTAATTTATTGGTATTTAATGTAAAAACCCCAAAATATCAGGTATTCACTTGATTGAATCAACTTCTGTCACATGCTCTCCTAAACATAATGTGCTTATCAATCTCTTAGCTACTCTATTTGCCAATGTTCCGTAAGAAATTATGTAGCACAAACTTAAGAATGTTCAACATGGCTCACTTATTTTACTGTTAAGCAAAGCTAAATATACATTTCAGGAAACACTGCAGTTTAATTTTAAAAACAAACAAAAAATGCAGCAGTAAAACAACTTGTGAGGAGAAACAGATGCATTCACATATAATAAAGCCACTGCAACTTCTTCAGGCATTCAACTGTTGTGTTAAATAAACAGACAGTAGTTATTTAGCAGCAATGATTCCGCAATAAATAATGCACTGTGTTTCTCAGTCCTGCACAAAAATTGCAGCTACAGTTACATCAATAGCTGTAACCTACTGGCTCTAATGGCAGAGAAGACCTTAAAACCGACTGTACAAAAAAATTGTCACACTGTGACAACAAATATAAAAAACAATCTGTAGGTCTGAAATAAAAAGACTCCACTGTGAAGAGGACAGTGTAGACATACGGAGATTCCAAGTCCACCAAAAGAAAAAAATTGCCTTCAAATCTGAGTCCTTGATTGGTTAAGAAAGGCTGGGGGCTGGGCTTGAAACCATGTTATCAGACTTAAAAGAGCATGCTCTGTCTTCTGTTCTTCCCATGTCCTAAAATATAAAGTCATTTTATGAGGCAGTTCAAGGTTCAGTTTTATCCCACATACAGTATTTGGTGACTCTAAGAAGTTAATGTTCCCACCAGCAAAAGCTACTATTCCATGGTAAGAGTGATCAGCACTGTCTTAAATGACCCTTTTGTTGACGGGGGTCAGTCTACAGCTTCTATGCTTCGAAGTGATGAACCTGATGACTAGGAAAGCACAAGATGTGTCTTCTGCCTCAGGTACAGGGATGGCGTGTGCAGTGATCAAGCCAGGTTACTTGTAAAAGGTCTTGTGCCATCTGCAGCTTTCAGGATCCCTGACTTGACTGAGTCAGATTTCTCTCTGAAGATTTACTGAGCTGCCCACATCATACAGAAAAGTGAGTACGTGCAATGCTAAACATACACAGTTGTGGAATGCACTGTACATTGGTTTTTACATCAATAATTTTACTGATCAATTTATAAACCAAAAACTTGGTCCACACAAAAATTCATGATCGACATGTGAAATGGTTTATGACAAACACACCTGTCTCTGGGTAAGAAGAATTTCGAAAACCGGGGTCCTTTTGCAACTGAATCTCTTTCAAACTGAATATTGACACGCCTAAAATGTACAGACAAAAGTCATTAGATGAAGGTCAACATTATTAGAAACATATACAATCCAGCCATAGAAAAGTGTTTGAAAACTATATAGTGATTCCACTATATTTGAAATATTTATATTTCAAATTAAATCCAATAAACATTTATACTGCACTTACTATAACCCTGCTCAAAGATTTGCCTTTTTTTAATCTATTTTCAGGAGGAAACCAAAGGAAGTAATTCCTTTTCAGAACCCTTCTTCCCCCAACTCTGATTTAAAGTACCGTGTAAGCAGGTGTTTCTCTGACAAAAACCTATGTTATCTGTTCCAAAATTTACTAGGTTGGGAGACCTCATTAAAATGCATTTCCAGGTTCTTAGTATATAAATATCCAGTAATATTGTCCTTTAACACTATCTCATGATGGCATAAAAGTATCAGGTCCTCAAACTACCTTCAGATTTTTAGGTAAAAACATGGAACAGGTAGGTTTGTACTACTTACCTCAAAATGAAATCTGGTATTAATAATGAAATGTAAACTTTTTTTAAAAAGTCACCTGTAATTCATATCTCATTTCCAATCTCTGTCAGAAAGTAGTCTTATGTTTAACAATCTTATAAGTGCTAAGTAAAAAGTCTTAAGGATTTCTTATTCAATTAGCATATTGATTGCTATGTAAATCTTAGTGAATCACTATTGTCTAGTAAATGAGAATGGGGAATTAATGAAAGCTTTTCATAGCTCAGTTCCCAAATTCTCCTAATTCCTCACTTACCTTACTCCATTTTTAAAGTAAAATATGGGCTTTTTTTTAAAAAGAATATCCACAAATAAAACTGAGGAGTTACTTTAGGCATTGGAAATGTGTTATTTTAATGACAGATAATACACTGATCCTTGTCATAGTGATAATAAAGTCAGAGTGATCCCTAGAAAGGAAAATCATCTTTATATCTTAAAGCAGGTACTTTCATAAGTAAACTATCTTATGTATCATTCACTCTTAATAACTGAATTGAAGCTACATTAGGCCTATGGATGCCATCATAGATGGTATATTTCAAATTAAATCCAATAAGATTGATGACCCATACGTAAGTATTATTGGTTTCTTAGTTTCTTACAGAATAGTGACAATATATATTAAAGTGTTATCCAGAAAGGAAAATAATATGATTGATTTGGAAAACTGTATAGTGGCTCCTTTCTTTAAGAAATTTTGATCTAATTTGAAAATGACCTATGTTTAGATTTAAAAATCAGCAACAATCTCTAAAAATTAGCAACCTCTAATCCATCTCATTTCCCAACACTGGACAAATGGATATAAAAGGATTTTCTTACTTTCTGGTAAAGCATGTATTCTTGGGCCCAGACTTCGAAAGTATACATGCTTCATGGCCTCTTCTGCTGAAACCCTTTTCTTAGATTCATACTGTGAAAAAGCAAAGAACTGCTTCATTAACTTTTACTCTTAATTACTATAAAAAGTTGGAAAAGGAAAAATTAGTATTTAGAGATTTTTTAAAAATCTTGATTGTGTTAATATGATGACTGTTTTTCAAGTACTGATTTGGAGTACTCCAGATACACTCAAATTTGAATTGCTGTTGAGATTATATAGTAATAATTATATCTCAGTTCTACATTTTCAAGATAAGTCTGGATCTTAAGTAAAACTTTAGATTCCTGTAATTTCTGAAGTGATGAAAAATTAAAATATTCAACTATTTGCTTTTACTTTTCTTCATGAATAACAAAGGACCAGGGAAAATACACTCAATGTCTTTATGGCAGACAGTCTCAATTACCTATCCAATATCCATTGCCCCTTTTTCCTTGATAAATGACAGATGGATCATGAATCATGATTGTTTCTAAGTTTAGGCTAATTATGACAATCTCGCTCCCCAATTCCCAGCCTCTCTTTTATAATTATTGTTTTGGCCAATGAGACTTGGGAAGAAGCCTTTCAGGGGTTTCTACCTGAAAGCCTTTGCTTTCAAGATATAAGACGGTTAATATGGCTGGTACCACCCTTATCCTCCCTCTTCTTCCTGCTTTGGAGGAAATATGAGTGGTATCTGGAGCTGCAGCATCCTGAAAGGTAGTAAGTATAAGGAAAAAGAGAACAAAAGAGATCATAAATTGCAGAGAACACTGCCTTGACAGAATTGATCAATGCCAGCAGCTGACTACCTCAGACTGTTCTTGGTCATAATGAGGCCCAGACCCTTCATTAAGAGAAAACATGTAATATATATATATTATATGTGTGTGTGTGTATATACACACACACACACACACACACACATATGGATATAGATTTATACACACACACACACATACACGTTTATGTGTGTGTATGTTTAACTTAAGCCCGTTCTTGAAACATGCTAGACACTACCACAAACAATCATTATAATATCATTCTCACATGAGGAAACTGTGGCTGAACTACTCATTTAACAATTACAAAATAAGATGTGACTTACCTGTAGAAATTTTGTTATCAACTCAATTCCTTCAGAGTCTAACCTAGATAGAACAATAAAAAACTTGGTAACTTTTATCTTAGCTGATAGACACCTTTCAAATAAAACTATTTCCCAAGTATTTTTGTTTGCTAAGTTTAACTGCCCTAAAACAGATACTCTTGTTGAGTTCAAATACACTCAAATCTGTTTTAGTCTGAAGAGGCTTATCTTGTCATGGAAGAAAACATACATAAATAACTTCAATTCAAATTTTCAATGTTCAAGAAAAAATTATTAAAGCTGTTGAGTTATTTATTATTTATTTTATTTATTTATTATTTATTTATTTATTTATTCTGTGTCAAAACAAAGGATTACATCAATTCTCATAGTATTGCAGTGAAGGAAAGTATACAAGAGCATCATTTTCCTATCACATGGGTAAAAACACAGAAACAGTGACCCCCCAAACTATATATCAGTGTGGTTCAAAATAAACACAGAGACAAGTCATTCAATAAATTTTTACAGCACTGGGTATGGGATGGTATTGAACTGCTGGCATTTAAAGGTGCCATAAAACTTCATTAATAAAGAACACCAAGCCAACAGTTAATAAAGAAAGCTTATTATAGTTATGAAATTAATATAACCAGTAGTGGAGTTAGGAATTATTTTAATGGGATTATCTCTTGATCAGAAATCACAGGTTCTATCTAACACTGCCTTTCGCTGATAAAAGTACAATTGAAAGAAATATTCTCCCCTGAGTGTTCTAAATGGTTCCTATGGATATTGGAGCCCAGACATTCTCAAGACTCCTCTAGTCCTCAGTAGTTTGCTACTCTGGCACATACCCAGAAGACCCTAGGCACAAACAAGCTAGGTGCTAAGTTCATGGACAATCTGCTTCACAGGCCTTCAACCTTCTACACTGAACATTACCACAGGCATACTCTCTCTCGACATCCCCTGGTCCCCCGCATACATACGCACATATACACATATACATGTGTGTGTGTGTGTGTGTGTGTGTGTGTGTATGACCAAAATAGGATTTACACTACTTTGGAGAGACACTAAAAAGCCCAGCATATATTGCTATTCTTCCTAAGAAAGTCTAGCTGAAAATAACAGCTAGATATTTTAATGTGCCATAGTAACTTCATAAAACTTCATTAATAAAGACCACAATAAGAATATCAGTACATGGAAATACTTAAAAATAGTTCTGGACTGATATGGAGGTAGGTGTGAGAAGAAACTTCAACTGTACTGCTAACATTAGGGGCATTCATTTTGCTTAAGAGTCAAAGAGTTTATATTCTTCAAGTACAAATTATGCCAGTAATGATGATCAAAATACTGATGGGTCATCTTACATTGGAGTCAAGATTTTACTTTAATATTTAGATGTTTTGTGAGTAAATAGAGAACAATTAAATAGAAAGCAAAACAAAAATTTTATCATGATTTTTATGGTACCAAATAAGGCATTAATTAATGTTTCTTCTGGGAAAAGAAGCTATTTAGATAAACTCTAGAATTCTAATACATATGTTTTATATTTATTTTATTTATAGCTCAATACTATTTCATATTTTACTTATTTTTGGTCACTGAATTATAAAATTAGTATGACAAAAAGAAGGGGGAAATTTAATTACACTAGATCCCAAAATATTTAAGAATTGTGTGTATTACATATTTGTCTGGAACTTTTATTGTGGGAAATACTTCCAACAGTTAAAAAGAATCATATAGTTTCTCCCCTTTTCACTTAAAAAAAAAAAATACCTGGGTGCATGGTTAATTAGAGGCTGTGGTTTATATTTTGGAAAGTTGTAGTTCTTGAATTCATCACTTGAAGAAACACCTGGCCAAGTTTCCTGAGATGGAGTTCCTAAATTTAAAAAAAAATTATATATTTATAAATAATATATAGAAATTATATATATGCAAAACTAAGAAAGTGCCTCAGAGAACATTTTACATTTATTAGATAATTTATTTAAACTGAAATTAAAATGATGGAAATAGTAAATACTTATGGGCTTATTTTTGGACTGTGTAATGATACTGTGAATATTATGATGTCTGGCCATTTTTCTATCCAGATGACACCACCTAAGCTAGAAATATTCCTTAATAATACACTGAAGGTCAATTTTCAATAATACTTCTACTCTTTCAAAGAATCTTTATTGCAAAGATGAAACTCTGTACATAAAAGAAGTTAGCAAGATCTCTCTATAATAATTAAGCTAACTGTAATTCTTAAACATAACAGCTATTTAGATGAGTCTCAGTAATATATTTTAAAAAATACTTTTTTAGAGATACAGTTTAATCTAGCTAGTCAATTGCAGGTGTAAATCATTGGAAAAAGACTTCTCCTATTACCTAGTAGTCGGAAAATTAAGTGCAGTTCATCTTCCACAGTTGATCCTGGAAACAGAGGTCTTCCAGAAGCCATTTCAAAGAAAATGCATCCGACACCCCTTTAAAATACATCATAGAGAGGAAAAAATGAACAATCCATTTACATACTATGAAGCACAAGAATTTTTTCCTTAAAGAATGCCTCTCTGGAGGATTTTGTATTAGCCTGCTAGAAAACCTCCTGCGGAGATATTTTTTAGATCCAACTAATTTAACGTTTACCCTATTCATCTCAAAATCCATATGGCTCATAAAGCTAATTCATTTTTTAAACTTAAAATGTCTAGCTCTCCTATGCCTGATCCTCAAGGAATAATATAATAACTAATAGTGAATGAATGCTTCCTATGTGTTTGAAACTTTAAGTGCTTGAACTATTTTCTCATTGAATCAGCTATAGTGTGACCATGCACTAAAAGGGGCAAGACAGGAAGGAGGAAAAACAAATGAAGAGATTGTTATGTAATCTGGGAGATAATGGTGGCCTGAGCTAAGGAATAAGGTCATAGGGAAAAAGGAAAGCAAATAATACAAGACTTTTTAATGCAGGAAGCAGAGGTAGAATATGTAGATGCAGGGTGGAGTGTGTGTGTAAAGAAGAGAAAGACTTGGAAGGCTCAATGAACAGTCACTATTATCTAGGAGCTGTGTGAACACAGCTGTGTGACATAGTCCTTCCACTAAAATCTTACAACCTAGTAAATATAATAAAAGTATGTAAAATTTAATGTTAAATATTAAAATGTTATAAAGAAAGTAAAATGCTATGATTGATATGGAAAACTGTACAGTAGTTCCTCAAAAAGTTAAAAATAGAATTACTATATGATCCAGCAATTCTACTCCCAGATGTATACCCAAAAGAAATGAAAGCAAGATTTTGAACAGATATTTGTACCACCACATTCACAGTAGCATTATTTACAAAGTTAAAATACGGAAGCAACTCAAATGAATCAATAAACAAAATGTGACAAATATGTACAATGTATGAAAAATATGTTTGTGACACATGCTGCAACATGGATGAACCTTAAAGACATTACACTAAGTGAAATAAGTTTAAATAAGTCAGTCACAAAAGACAAATACTGTATAATTCCATTCATATGAGGTACTTTGTTAATTTCTGAGACAAAAAGAATGATAATTTTCAGGGACTGGAGAAAGAAGTGGAATAGGAAGTTGTTTAATGAGTACAGTGTTTCAATTTTGCAAGATGAAAAAAGTTCTGAAGATGGGGATAGTTGGACAATGATGTAAATGTACTTAATGTCTGAAAATTGGTTAAAATGGAAAATTTTATTTATGCATTTTATTGGGATTTTAAAAAGAGAAAAATGTTATACAAAACAAGATTTTATAAAACTGCTCAAGACAACAATACAAGTATATGATTTAGTACACAAAGAATACTTAAAATAAACGCAATCACCATTCAGAGGAAGAAATTGCATCAAGAGGCTAGGTTGTATTCAGGAAAGGATTTATGAAAAGCTGTGTTTTGAAGGTTATGAGGCACAAGCCCTGGTTAGAGCAGTAGAGTAGGCACACAAGATGGGTGAACTGATATGAACACAAAAAGCAAAGATGGGGAAACCCAGGTTATTTTGAGGTATAGTGAGTAGGCCATTTAGTTAAAAGGGAATATCTATATTGAGAAATAGTCTGAAATAGTTGGAAAAAGTAGTTCACAAACATTTTATGGAAATCTTTAAATACTGGATTAAGAAGTGAACTTAGATTAATCTATAGATTAATGCACTGGCCACAAAGGTATTTGAATAGAGGAGTGTCACAATCAAGGTGATGTGTAAGAAAGATGGCTACAATGTTTTGATTATTGCTTTTAGAACAACTTAAAACTGGTAGATTTTGATGAATGTTAAATGATGATAAAAATAATTTTGTTTTAAATTACTATGTGTCAACACTCTTCTGAATGTTCTTTTCCCTTTTTTTAATGTGTTAGCTAATTTGGTCTTACCATTATCTGCAGAGCTTTAAAGTAGTTATTGTTAACTGTTCCCATTTCCTTAAATGTAGAAACTAAGGCACAGGTCAGTAATTTAGATAATGTAATTGTTGTAGTTGGTAAAATTGGTATTTAAATTTAGATAATCTTGCTACCTTGCCAGAACAATTATTCACTGCTTATGCTGTGGCTCTTTAAAAATCACCATCAATTAGCATTGCCCTGTGTTATCAGCTACATTATTTCAAAATTGTAAATGGCAATAATGTTTTATCTATACATATTTACCACATGTCAATCTGTGTTGAGTACTCTGAGGAACCAAGAAGCACATCAGGTGGCCGATACCATAGTGTGACAACTTCATTTGAGTAGGTCTTTGTGGGAACTGACTTGGCTCTGGCTAGTCCTTCATAGGGAAAAGAAAACAAAGAATTAAATATACTAAAATCCATTAAGAATATAATGGATTTCTTAGTCCCTATGCTCACCATGACTCCATTCACAAAGATACTAAAATGGCTACTCCATAGCTACTTGAAGCTTCAACAAAATTGGTTTTATGAATTTTGGATACATGGGGTCTTCAGTGAGAATATCATTATCTAATTAAACTAAATATAATAATTCTGAGACCACAGATTTTTATTTAATTGTATGTGGTGAATGCACTGGTATAATGTCTAGATGTTTAGCTTATCTTATCCTAAGCTAAAGATATTTTCCCTTGGGCTGGGGATGTGACTCAAGCGGTAACGCAATCGCCTGGCATGCGCGGGGTGCTGGGTTCGATCCTCAGCACCACATAAAAATGAAATAAAGATGTTGTGTCCACCGAAAACTGAAAAATAAATATTAAAAAATTGTCTCTCTCTCTTAAAAAAAAAAAGATATTTTCTATTTGTCCATGAATCATGGTGCCAAAATTATTTTCTAGCAGAAATTAAATTAATCCAAAATAGGTCAATGACAATGAGACATAATTTTACTTGTCACAATTATAAGTTTTTATCACCTTTTAACCTAATTCTAACATTCATTTGCTGTACCATTTTTTATTAAAAATCCAAATCATTTATAGTCCAGTTGAGTTTACTGACAATTTCCTTGCAGAAATCCATTCAGAAAAGGTTTCCATAGAACAAATTACAATGTTTTCTGTACACTTTATGTTATATAGATAATTTTAGACTGAGAGAGACCTCATTGCTTTTGAGTATTACTAATTGCTGTAAACGATGCAAAACATTTGCTATCCCTTTGCCAATTTAATATGGAATCCACTAATTATCCAGAAATGAAGACTAGAGGGCTGGGGATGTGGCTCAAGCGGTAGCGCGCTCGCTTGGCATGCGTGCGGCCCAGGTTCGATCCTCAGCACCATATACAAACAAAGATGTTGTGTCCGCCGAGAACTAAAAAATAAATATTAAAAAATTCTCCTCTCTCTCTCTCTCTCTCCTCTCTCTCCCACTCTTAAAAAAAAAAAAAAAAAAAGACTAGAGTTCCCAATTTTATTTGTCATTAGTACTAGAGTTATTATCATCTCTTAAAGCCTCTAAATTTTGATCACTTAAAGAAGCAGCAATTTTGAAAGGTATCTTAAGAAAATAAATTTATTTTTACCATATATTTTATTTCAAACAAGAGAAAATTCATTTTTAGGCTGAGATTTCTATTATATATAAGTTTATATATCTGATTAAAATATCAAATATAAAAAATATCAAGAGTATTATTAAATTGGATAAAAATCTCATAAATAATACTAGAAAGTTAAATAATGAGGCAACACACTATTTTGGTTTAGAATAATGGCTAACAGGTATAACTGGAACAATGCTGACACCATTTTATTAATTATAAATTTTGCTCTTAATCTCCCAACTTTGAGAAATAAGTCCAACAAATAATTTTTCTATAATTTTTGGTAATTAGTAAGATGGAGGGCAACTTTCAGATGCTAAGAATGGGTTACAAGGAGGCAAAGGACAGAGCTATAAATTTGCTCATCCTATAGCACACCATTCTGGAAAGTTGCCAGTTATAGTTCTCCCAATACTTTTACTCTCCTGCTCCTGAGAAGATCATGAACTACTAGCATGCTTGTCCAAATAGGTTCCTGTTTTAAAATCAGAATTTCAGTATTGGCATGAAAATGAAATAAGCAACTCTCAAACTAATTATAAAAGTCACATGATATTATACAAGCCACTTTTTATCATTAATGGAAATGACTACATTATAATTCCTAGACCTCTGAATTTCACTGGTCACGAAAAAAAGGTATGATTTTCAGAAAGATTAAGAACAACTTACAGAACAAATACTCAAACTTAATTGACCCTTACTTGAAGCTCCAAGTGTATTTACCATGCAATAAAATAAACAGATAACAAAAGTAACAGAGACAAAGTTGACTGTATTATTTCATGGAGTAATCAGAATTTCTTTTCTTTCTCTCTCTCTCTCTCTTTTTTTTTTTTTTGTTGTTACTGGAGAGTTAACCTAGGGGCGCTTTGCAACTGAGCTATTATTTTAAGACAGGATCTTGCTAATTTGCTTAAGGGCTTTGCTAACTTGCTGAGGCTGGTCTTGAACTTGTAATCAGCCTGTCTTAGCCTCCCAAACCACTGGGAGGCATGCATCACTGTGCCTGGCAGTAATCAGAATTTCTTACTGGCCTATGTGAAGATAAAATTTGCTTTGCTTGCTTTGAAGAAGTTAGAGGCAAAATTTAAAGCACTCAGAATATTCCCAGATAAAAGTAGATTTTTGATGGTCCTTGACATTCCTTTTGCATTTCAAATATTCAAGCATGGTTTCTCTGTTACTGCCATACATTTTGGGATTGAGGACAAAGAGCAGTAAATGCAGCTTGACAAAGAAAGGAGGAGGAAGGAGGGGTGAGAACAATTAAAAGGGAAATAACAGCATAAACTATGGTTCAAAAAGAGACTGTATAATCTATGCAAGTATATGCAAATAACTTGTAATTTTTTGTTTAAACATAGATGGCTCACTCATTTCCGTTTTAAGGAAGGAAATCGGAATAGAAATTTACCTTTCAAACAAATAGCAAAATACTGAGTATAGAAATTACCATTTAATAAGTAAATTTTTAATCTGAGTAATAACTTGAAACACTCATAAAATTTAGTGAAATTTTCCAAAACTGAAACTACTATAATAATTTATGAAAAATTAAAAATGTAATTTTGGAAAACTACATGGGTTTTTAAAAACTAAGTTCTATCTAAGTATTTTGAGGGTAACATAAAAATTTCAAAGCTACTCTACAAATTTCTTTTTTTTTCCTAGTAGAAACAATTTACTAAATGCAAAAAGAACATGTAATTTTGTTTTACTTTCAAATTCCTTAAAATCAGATGAGCTAAAATGATATAAGTAAATAACTACCAATTAAATTATTGAGCATATAATAAATGCAGTCATGGTGGTAAGCACATAAAGGCAAACCCTTTCAGGTGTTTTCTTTTTCTTTTCAGTTTATTCCTTTTTTTTTTTTTTTTTTAATTTTATATATGACAGCAAAATGCATTATAATTCTTATTACACATATAGAGCACAATTTTTCATATCTGAAAGGTGTTTTCTAAATTCTCATTTTATACTCTTAAAAATTATTAAGGACCCCAAATATTTTTACTTATATAGATAATTGCTGATATATGCCATAAAAGATGAGAAAATTAAAACATTTACTCACTAAAAAATACCTCACAATGTTAGCACAAATAACATTTTCATGAAAATTTTTTCCAAAATAAAACAAGTCTATTTTGATAGAAGACAGCTGGATTCTATATTTGCTTTTGCATTCTATCTGTTATGATATGTTGCTTTATTACATATTACAATATATCATAATTTATATAGGTATAGGAAGAAAATAAAATCTTACACAGATATGAAGTTTTTAGAAAGAGGAGGAACATTTTAATAGTTTTTTCTGATCATTATAGATAGAGTTCTTTCATACATTAGATTAAATTGTTTCTTCAAGGTTGTATGGTAACTGAAATTATATCAATGAACTATTCATACCTTTGTTAAAATTCACTGGTCTGTCTTGTATTTTAAATGAATCTTTTACCATGCATGATTCTATAACATAAGGTGCTAGTAACTGGAAAAACATTAGTTCTTGAGTTATGGGTTAAAATGTTTATATATTTCTTCAAAATAAAAAAATCCTATTTGTTAATATCAACACTGATCTTATCAGAAAAGTTTCTAAGCAGTGGAAAGCTATTAAAGCTTAAAGTAGCAGAACCAAATTTTCAAAATCTAATTTTTATTTAAAAACCTGAATTTTACTATTGGCAAGAAATATTCGCAGTGGATTTCCTTGAAGTGACAGGCTTACTTCACTCATTTTCAAGAAAAAGTCTGAATAACTCGTTTGTTAGTCATTTTCTGAAGTAAAAATGGTGTTCCTTGGAAAAAAAGGGCTAGTTAGGCTTGTACCAAAAAAATCCCACAAAAACTTTTCCTTGAGATAACTATAGAATTTCTGTGTGCAGCACATGTGTTTTTAATATTTCTATTTCATCACACATACAAAATACAAAAATATTAAACAGTCATGTACTCAAGGACAGAAATTTAATCAAATCAATAAATTTTACTGCTTGGCAAAATATTTTAAGTGTAACTGATATTGTTCTCTAAGAATATGCAGTGGCGAAAAACACAATGACATACTTAGGTGGCAATGCCTGAACATATACTAAGGAAATAGCAGTTTTATCCTTATTGCTTCTGGATCAACAGCGCAAATATTAAGATAGAGCAAAAAAGCAAATAACATTTAGTGTACTTTTGATAATATACGTTACCTTTGGATACTCCCTGAAAGGGTTTCAGGAACCTGGGGTCAATGGGCCACACCTGAGACACCTCTAAGTATTTGTTGCTAACAAACCAACATGAACCACCCACAAAATTCTGTCAAATATGGATCAGTGGGCTACAGAGAAAATTTCCAAAGTTACAGGAAAGTGATAACACATTGTGACAAGAGTTAGATTCTTTTAAACCTAACTGTTATGGGCCAGGCTATATGGGCAATGACCAAACAGATCCATGTTACCCTGAGACTTCATGTCATGTAAGAAATGCTTCTCCCATGGGAAAACTCTGCCTCTGTACCCACTAACAGTTGCTTAGCATATTTAGCAACACAAAATGGCCATTCTGATGCATTGTACTTGTGTAATACCCTAACTGCTTAAAATGTCAGAGAATGTTTGTCTAGCTGTTAGTAACCATTCTTTAAATTGTATTCAATTAGGGTTGTTTTGATCCACTCCCCCACCCTCTGCTTATGATTTTAGATCTCATGATTTTTGTTTATGGTTTTGAATCACAGCAACAAGCCATTTATGATTAATGTACTAATATGCTTTACTTGTGGTTTTGAACTACAAAAGATTTGTTCTAATCCCTGGAAGGGGTTGAGGAGTGTAGACTAGAAGCCTGCCCTTGTCCTGCCAGCTCGTGTCCTACCGGCCTTTGAATAAAGATGACTCCATCTCCTGCTTTAAGACTGACTTGGTGATTTATTGCAATCTCTCCATACATAATCACCTGGAAGTATTTATAAACATTTCATCATTCCATACCAAAATCTGCTAGCTTTAATTCTCCTTTTTCATTAATGAGGAGGTTCTGTGGTTTCAAGTCTCGATGCAACACCTTTCTTCTGTGGCAATATGCTAAACCACGTAGAATTTGGTATAGAAACAGCTACAAAAGCAAATAAGTAAAAATTAGTTTTACAGATATTGAGACATACTTTGGTATTAGCATAAGCTATGGTAAGCACAAAAGCAACTGGTCTAGAATAGTAAAAGAAAAAAGAAATTGTATCATTTTAAGGACAATGCCTTTTATATTTTGAGTTGTTTTCTGAATTTTAGTTTATTGTTCAATTTGAAGCATCTTTTTTGTCAACAGTATCTATGAAAATATTGTAAATATAATGAAATTTTGTCTTAGTAGTAATAGCACATTTATTAGAGAAAGCAGCCTAAACAAATGTATCCTCAAACTTATACTACTAAAGCTTACAGTTTGATTATAAAATTCTGGTATGTCAATCACCCCCAGGCACTTATTCCCTTCCTTTAAAAAACAAACAAACAAACAAATAATCTGATCTGGGTCAGTACCTTTAAAAAAGGAATGGAAATTGGTGGCTTTAAATAAAGCCTCAGGTATCAAAGAGAATAGGGCTGCATACTCTGGCAAATTACTGGTTATAAAAATAATTTAACCAGCTTTTAGCACCCACCTCCTGGATACTTTACTTTCAGCACCTCCTACTCAGTCTTCAAAATTGGCTGTGATTCAAAAAGGGGTAATGCACTCTAATGCTCTAAATGACTCTGAAAAAAGCAATTCCTGTAAGGCTAATGTACAGGTTTTGTTGTGGATTTTGGTGAAAAGAGAGATGTGGAACACATCTTGATTTTCTGGGATTAGCAAAAAAAAAAAAAAACTTAAATACAGAAGATTCAATAGGTACCTTTGGTTCACTTGTATGAAAAACATGGCATCTGAATACCAAGAATAAGTCAAGGCATTGGGTGAATAAAGGCATGAATGTCTTTGGTGTTTTTTTGTTTTTGTTGAAGGGGGTGTATGGGGGATTGAACTCAGGGGGCACTCTACCATGGAGCTATGCCCCAGACTCTTTTTAATTTTGAGACAGGGTCTCACTAAATGGCCCAGGTTAGTTAGCCTCAAATTTGCAATTCTCCTACTTCAGTTTCCCAAGTAGCTGAGGTTGTAGGTATACACCATCATGTCTGACGTGAATTAATTCTAAGCAGCAAAGTCTTCAGACTCCACATATTCATGTATGTGTTTTGAAAACTCTAAAATTACTATTTTAATATACTCCTGTTGGGTTGCATTAGGGTTATAGTGGTGAACATAGCTACCTTTCAATATATTCCTGTTACATTTGGAAAACATTAAATGCAATTTTAACAACCAATAAAATACTTTCAAAATATTTAGACCTGACTTAAAAGATACAAACGTTTCAAACCTGTCAAATTATGATACTTATAGACTACTTCCTTTCCAAATTAGTGCTATTATAAAAGCAGAAAAAAACAAAATTTAAAAAACTAAGAAGATATACAAAAATAGCATTTATAACACCTAGCAAAGTAAAATGTAAACTATAATGAAAACAATCTTCATGGAATGTATATGGAAATACTTTTAAAGCCTTGTTCTAAAATTCTTAGCAATGTGCTAGCCATATGTTCCCAGCTCTCTTTTTGTAACAGAAACTGGCTTTCCTTTATATTCACCAAATTTACTATTTAAAGAAAAGAAAAAAGTAAACAAGTACATTTAAAGTTACTAAGTTACTATCTACAGAATTAGAAAGGTCTCAAGCACACAAGATGAGTAAGTCTATTTTCAAAATAGGTTCCAATAAACTGTTGACGAAGTTTGGACAAATAAATCTTTGCCAATTTAAAGTATACTGCTAAGAACAAGGAAGTCTCTAAGAACACAAGTATGTCAAATACTTTTATTTATCTAATAACTTCTGGGTTTCTTCTGGATCTGATTATTACAGCAAACTTCTCTAGCATTATTTGAATTTTTAGATGTACTAAAAAAGCACAATATCTTAACTATTCCTTCTGACAATACAGATAGTTATTTCTAGCAAAGCAATCACAACACCTACATGTTTCTGGCCTTACTTATAACCCTTTCTCATAATACATAACCCTGAAAAGGAGTTGTTATTTTTATAATTTAATACCATTTTAAATATATTAGAGGGAGTTTACCATTTAAAGGTGGCCTTTTGCAGAATATACCCATCATCTGTATTTAAACATTTGAATTTTTTTTTTTCAGAAAGCAAAATATACCTGCAGATATATTCTACATGTAGGATAATCAGTTGCAATGTGAAAGAAAATATCAAAAATAATTTTTTTAAAAGACTTTTAAATGAACCAGTTCTACAAAAAAGATATGATCCTAAGAATCTATAATATAGTAAACAAAAGTTGAGTAAATATGCCATTCAGAAAATTCTGAAGATTGGTTATAAGGTTGGTATATTTCACTGCACAATATAGCTCATCTTTCTTTATACTTGAAAATTACACAATAAACATACCTTTACATTGTGCATACTCATGATGTTCCCACAGTCATCCATGTACTGTTTTAGGTCTTTATCCTGAAAAAAACCCCAGCATTTTACTACATGATAACACAATTTTCAAGATGCATGGCTGATTCACTTAATAGTATTTAATTTTTTAAAGAAAATTGTTTTTCAAGAAAAGATATAGAATGCACCACATAATCTAATTATATATCAACAAATAAACAACAATATCTCTGGGACTGTTAAAAAAAAAGTCTAATTTTCTATTACGAAAGTAAAAATAAATACTGATTTTTTTTTAAATGCTTACCAGATACTCAAAGACCAGAGTCAAAGATTTATCTGTGTGAACAATGTCATGTAAGGTTACTATATTTGCATGTTTTAAATCCTTTAAGAGTGAAACTGTAAAACAGAAAAGAAAGTCAATTATTTAGTCTGTGGAAGCCAGTCTTTATAAAAACTTGAAGTAAATTTAATGTATGAACCAACTGTGTTTAATATCCTCTTAAGTCTAAAACAGTAAATTGCAAAGGGGATTAGTGGTAGAAAAACTGAAGATATCAACTTTTCCTTTTCTTATGGTTTTGAGTTTTGATATTTTAGTACCTGAAGTCGTCTCCAATATTACAACTCTCCATCTTCTGTTCTTCTCTTTAATGTTAACTTTTTGAGGTTAATTTGGATAGAATAAAAGATATGCTTTCTTCCTCCACATTGCTCAAACCTTATTCATCTCTTTATTTATTACTTTGATACCAGGGATTGAACCTGAGACACATACCCAGACTCCTTCTTTTTTTATAATTTTTATTTTAAGACAGGGTCTAACTAAGTTGCTAAGGGTGGCTGCGAATTTGCTTCAGCCTCTTGAACCACTGGGATTAAAGGCATATACCACTATGCCTGGCTCAAACAAATTTTGAAAAATTCACTTTTTAAATATAATGGTATCATGACATGTATACAGTATATTTATTTCTTATATTTAATATATGCAGCTAATTTAGTTACCATGTTCCCCATGTACCAATATGTAAAATTTCCCTATCAGGTATTTATCTATATCAATGCTTTTAATGACTTCATAGTATTTCATTATATAATAATAAAATTAATTTCTTTCTACTGAACATGTTAGTTTTAGAAATAACTTTTTAATGGTCTGATTATATTTTCCAGTCACCTATTATTTTGATATCTGCTTTTATTCATTAAAAATATACTCTTATACAACTTTGGTTTAAAAATGTTTTATATAAAAATACCTTCTCTTATAGCCGTACAGGGTGCACCTTCTTCATGTTCCAAACGGATCTCTTTTAATGCCACCAAATTCTCTGTCAGTTTACTTCTTCCTTTATATACTGTTGCATATGTACCCTATAAAATATATTTTTGAAGAACAAGTCAAGAGTATCCTAAGATTCTAACAATAAAAAAATTATAAAATAACTGATAATAAAAATTAACTGAGAGGCTGGGGATATGGCTCAAGGGTAGCGCGCTCCCCTGGCAGGCGTGCGGCCCGGGTTCGATCCTCAGCACCACATACAAACAAATATGTTGTGTCTGCCGAGAACTAAAAAATGTAAATAAAATATATTTAAAAAAAAAATAAAAAATAAAAAAATTAACTGAATTTCTGAAATTTAAGCATGTTGAATTCCATCTTGCAAAGAAAACTCCACAATGTCCAATATTAGTTTTTCTTATAGCAAAGAAAACTTTGAGTTCCATACACACAGCTTCCGTGATTATATAACGCCTTTTACAAAGTGTCTCAAAAGTATAAAAATATAGAGATTTAATTCATTTTTTGTACTTTATTTCAAATTAATATTTGGATCAACAGTTTTAAAATCAAAGATGCTTTACCTCTAATGGTATATGAAAACTGAGGGACACTGAGCACATTAAATGAAAATATACTGTTAAATAAAAAAAAAGTTTTACCCATGTTTCCAGACTTTTCAAAATCTTTGCACATTAGCACATTAACTCTCCTTTTAAAAAAGAAAAGAAGCTTCCCTATCAACTAAGTCCATTATTTTCTTCTTTGCTATTTATTATTTATTACTTCTTTATTATTTCTCACTATTTATTTATTTATTACTTTCTTGCCCTTTCTTACTATGGAAGATAGAATGTTTCTAAATTAGCATTACAGGTAGTGACAAGTTCAAGAAAACTACATTTTTAAGACTTCCTTATCCTTCAATGAAATGTTTTTATTTCTAAAGTTATTTTTCAGAATTTTGAACTCATGCAATTTCCCACAACAGTACGGACAGGAGACTTTCAGGAGGCTAACAAATAGATGCCCATTTTGTTAACCAAGAAAGCACGATACTTTGTGTTTCAATAAAAGATTTTAAGCCTATTAAAAATCCTCATTTCTTGGGCTGGGGTTATAGCTCAGCGGTAGAGCGCTCACCTTGCATGTGCAAGGCCCTGGGTTCGATCCTCAGCATAACATATAAATAAAATAAAGGTATTGTGTCCAACTACAACTTAAAAAAAAAAAAAAAAAGTGCTCATTTCCTCTCAAACTGATAGGATACTTTCAAGTATTTAGGGTTTTATTCCTCCTAATTTTCAGTTACCTTTTCAAGAGGATACTTTCAAGTATTTAGGGTTTTATTCCTCCTAATTTTCGGTTACCTTTTCAAAGCAAGATACAATCTTTTATAAAATCATATTCACAATTTTCTAGGTTGGCGAAATCATACACTAATAAAGGACTTTGAGGATGAAAAAGGAAGTCTTGCATTTTTAAAATAAGAATTAACTTACCTCTCCAAGCTTTTCCAATTTGATGTAGGTTTCCATTTTCCCAAACCCAATTTCTGACTGAAAGCAAAACAATTATAAATTGAGTATTTATTCTTAAAATTGTAGTTCATTTCTTCCCTTAACTTCTAAAACTCTCCAAATATAAAATGTCTAAGAATAGAAAAGGTTGGTTACATTCAAACTATTGGACATCTATCAAGTTTCAAAATATATTTGATGTTGAAATGCTGAAAGGATCTAAAGCATCAATATTCATAATTAAACTTATGTATGGATTGTATAATGGTCTGCTGTGAACATTTTGTTCTATTTTAAGATCCCAAATTTTCTTTTTAAATATTTTTAGTTGTCAATATGTATGTATTTATTTATTTATATGCTATGCTAAGGATTGAACCTAGGGCCTCACATATGCCAGGGAAGTGTTCCACCACTGAGCCACAACTCAGCCCAAGACCCCAGATTTTTAAATACCACAGACTTAAATTTTAAGATACCAAAGAATCTTATTTAAAAAATATGATTTGATTTTCCTTTTAACAAAATCACATAATAATTTTCCAACCAATCTTTGAATTCCTATGGAGACTTGGAAAACAACAGATGCTATTTGTTTCAGGTTCTCCAATCAAAATGCAATGAAAAAAAAACAGAAAATTACATTCTACTATGGATCAAGAAAAAAATGCAAACACAAAAGCAGCAACATAAGTCTCAATCCCCTCAAAAGCTTTAAAAGTGAGTTCTCAAACCCTTGCTTTTAAACCTTAAACTCATTTGCGCTTTTTTGTGTGGAGTCAATAAACGAGGTAGTTGGAATATACCCAAATGTGTCATGGAAACCCAATATATCCAATACATATTTTAATACAAAATAAGCAACCTTAATACCAAAGATTTGGAAAAACAATATATATGTAGAAAATTAGGGACTAAGAGACCAGAATTTTTTTTAAAAAGTAAATGGTAGCCAAGAATAAGAATTTCCTTTAAATTGTTTTCTAGAATCCCTTTGCAATAGTAGAAAAGACAATAACAATCTAAAGAAAAATTCACTTCTTAGATGATGCTAATGTCCTTAAATAAAAAGCTAGTAAAAGGAAATAATGTATAACTTCAGTTTTCACAGGTATACAAATTATATTAGTATCATTAAATATTACACTATACTCAAACCCTAGAGAATCAAATATGCGATTTTTCTGGAGCTTTCAAATAAATTAAAAATGATACTTAATGATTAGACCTGGCATCACTTATCACTTCAGACAAAAGGTTAAACTGTTCAAAAGTTGAATGGCCAAAAGTAGAAGAGGTCCCTCAAAGGAATTGTTTTTATCCTTTTGTTACAATGACTAAAGAACTGCTTCTTTTTGCCTTTTTTTAAACCGTTTTTTCTATCTATCTATCTATCTATCTATGTTTTTCATGAAAAACATTAAATTAGAAAAATGAAGATTTAGAACCATCATATACTACCTACCCAGGTACTGTTTTTTATGTAACTCAGTATTTACTAAATTTTTGCTTTCTACTGCCAATAACTATGCAGAATAATGAGGTAAAACTACAAGATACAACACTTTCCAGAAACAAATGAAGTTTTGAAGTTCAATATGGAAAATGTGGCTAATAGCCCATTCTGGTATATGACAGCCTGATTCCAATAATTTTTCACTTTATATAAAACTGCTAATTACCAAGGTTAACAAAAACCATGATAGAATGTCATTATTTTCTTATACCTATATTTGGAATTCAGATGTTTAAATTCACAAATATGGAACTACTGCACTTTCCCCTTGAATTTTAAGTCTTGTGTCATCTTTTACTTGGGGGGGGACACTATATTGAGAATAAACATCAGCCACTATGAACAAAACAATGAGTATCCCTGAGGGGGAAAATATATATATATATATAGTCGTTGTCTATAAAAATGAGAAGTATATAAGAAGATATGACTGTAAACTAGAAACTTTTTCTTTTCAGTAGTAGGGAAATTTTCTTATTCATTCCTTTATATTAAATGAATATTAGTAAGCCCTTAACATGAAATACACTTTGGTCTAGTGTGACCATGACAAAAACAATGAAGTTTGCTTTAAAGATTACATAGTGTACTGACTATAAATTAATGGTTTTAAAGATGAAAATGCCTTAGAGGTTTTATATATATATAATGTAAGGAATAACTTGTAAAGGATACATGAAAAATTTAAGACTACAGCACTCCTCAGAGAATAAAATTTAATGACATTAGAATATGCTAAAAAATCTGTTTTTTAAAAACAAAAGTAACTGGTTAACAATAATTAACTGTGTATTTCAGCTAGTAGAGAGAATTCTGAATGTGCCCAACACAAGAGAAATAATGAATATTTAAGGGGAGAGAGATATGCCAATTACTCTCATCTGATCATCACAATTTGTACGTGTATTGAAATGTCAATATACCATAAATATGTAAAATTGTGTGTCAACTGAAAAAAAGTATATATCTAAGAAAGAACATAAATACCATACAATAATTATGAAGTTAAATTTGAATAATCAGTCTATAATACAAATAGCACTACTGAATTCCACCCATGCAGGCAGGCAGAGAATTCAAACAAAAGGCAGTTACATTAGTGAACTATCAGATCCTAATGCAAAAAGTAAAATAAACCCTAATATCCTCCCCCCATTTTAATAATATCTAAATAGTAATTATTATAATTACTGAATTTTTCAATGGAATTTTTAGAAAAATTTGCTTGCATTTTTATCTGCTGAACATGACAAGATTAACAATAGATATAATGACTAGCTTGTTGACATGCTCTCCTACAGAAATTATTCAGAGGACAGAGGACAAAGCTCATTTATTCATTTACCAAGCACAATGTTAGGTGCTGAGCATACAGTGAAGAAGACAGATGATTCCCACTTTCATGAGTTCACTTGAGTTGCACCTTTAAACAGAAATAATAGCTAAAAAAATGGTAAAATAAGCTTTATATTTTAATATAATATTGAAAACACCCTTAATTCTGTTTTTCAGACAGAAGAAGATCATTTTTCTGATACTTCATTGTTCTAAGAAAATACTTCACTTTTTGGCAGTCCAAAGCGAATTCCTAATGAGATGGCTCTTATAGCAAAAGCACACAAATACTAACAATATACATAAATAAAATAAATTACAACTTATAATAGGTCTTCCTATAATTCAGTGTAATTTGTAAGCAGTATCAAGTGTAATGAGAGATTTCTAATCGTCTTTGTTTCTAACAACATAATTCATGCACCACAGTAATACAGATGTATTAATATGCTAGAGATGCGGTTCTAATTTAGCTTTAGAACAAGTGAAGTATATGCTGAGGTTCTACAGATGCCATGTTAAAATAGAATATGTATTGAAAAACACTGGGAACAGCAGGAGGTTTTTTCCAAACACCCACTTCCCTCCCTGTGAGAATTATTAAATTATTGTATCTGACAGCAATGGGTTTTACTCTTTGATATGTGGGGCCAGATAAGAGACTAAAAACCTCAATTCTATTTGGTCATTTTTTTCTTACAAAATTTATCAGCATCATGATACTTGCCAATTCTGTCAAAGGTAAACTGTGTGTGGAAGTGAACCTCACTTTCACACCATAGGATGCATTTATTATTTTGTGAGATATCAGGACTTGATGCCCTATTTTCTCATTTTCTCTTAGAAATAAGAAATGAATACATGTAATCTATACTGCTGAGCTAGGAATGAGGAATCCACACAGTGGGAAGATAAACACTTAAAATGTACCTAATCTATAATTTTAATATAATGACACAAATTTTCATATATAGACTTTCATTCTACTGATGTTACACTTATAAATCTCATAAAACTTCTACTGGGTACACCATTATTGTAAATGCAACAAAACTCTGATGAATTCTGACTATCAGCATAGAAGAGTCCCATTAGTCTAATATTTATTTAACTGTGTTAATACTTCATTTCTTACCAACCATAAATAACTATTAAATAGCATTTCCCAATTCAGTAACCAGTTATCTTTAATGAGATATGATTACTAAATTAACATGGTATCCTGGATGTAATCTTTGGACAGAAAAAGGATGGTAGTAAAAAACTAGTGAAATTTGAATAAAATGTGGAGTTTAGTAAATAGTAATGTACCAATATTGGTTCCTTAGTTGTAAAAAATGAATTAAAGGAACATTGTTAATAATAGGGGTAACTGGGTATGTGGTAAAAATCACTGTATTATCTTTGTAATTTCTCTGTGAATCTAAAACTAGATCAGCTCCTTGCTTAGAGTGAAAAGACTTAATCAAAGAAAGACAACGTGAAAGGCAAAACTGAGGGTCCACTTAAAATAAATGATCATGAATTTATAGATCTAACTGACCCTTCCCTATTACTCCTTCCAGCAAAAAAGAATTCTATAACTAATTTTCTTAATTTCTACCTAAGAAAAAGGGTATATTATCCATGGAAATGTAAACTCCTAACACATGTGAAGAATATTTTTTTTCCCCAACTGCTTTTCATCCATTCCTAACCTCACCCTTCTTCTTCATACATAAACCCCCTGAGGTTCAGAATTCTATAAATAACAGACCTCACTGAGGGGGAAAAAAAAATCTAGTTTTTGGATACATAATGAATACAGCACTTATGTAAACTTGAATTCTAACTGTTATGAAAAATAATTTTCTTTTTCCCACCTGCTTTCCATTACCCCTAACTTTCATATGCCTCTCGTCTGCCCCTTCCAGTATCAACACAAGGTAAAGATTTTTCATTTTGAAGAATAATTTTCAAATATATATCAAAAACAATTTGCTTAGTAAGGTAGATTGTAATGAAAGGGATGCATGGATAGAAACAAAATACAGCTGTGGCATGATTAATCTGAAATTTATAAGCCAAAATTCAAAATCAAAAACATGGTAAGTGGATAGGAATAGGTGGCAATAACAAAAACTCCAATCACTTAACATTCATTAGAGGGCACTGTTTAATTTCATGTAAACTACAAAAGACAACTCTTTTTAAATGACAGTTTCAAGAACTGCATGGTAAGGGTTGGGAATGTAGCTCATTGGTAGAGCCTAGTATGCTGGAGACCCTGGGTTTGATCCCTCCTCCCCCCACCCCCACCCCTGCCACACACTGGCAAAAAAGGAATTGCATGGTATTAAATCATACTTTCACTTCAAATCAGAACAAACATAACTTCAAAATTTATCCCAAGTACAAATCTTTTATAAAAATTGATAGCTAAAGAAGACATCTGACCAGAAAATAAAGTGGCAAAAGTATCTTTTAAAATGTTTTAAGGAGTGGTGTGCAAAATTACGATAATCACTGACATATACCAAAATCAAGTTGGTTATACTTTATCAATGTGCTCAGAGTGTATAAAAGAATAAAGTAATTTTATTCTTTAGAATATCAAAACATAAGCTTATATAAATTAAAAAAATCCATGATATAATATATGGAAAGGAGATGAAACAGCTGTGAGAAACTCAGAAGTCATCATCAATTGTTATCCCTCAGACACAAAGTTAACTGAGTACCAGATCCTGTCTATTTTCTCTCTACATGATCCCTAGGGTCAGTGTTCTACTTTCTATTTCCAGATGACTGCTACATCATCCCTAATTTTGAACAAATTCCTAATTCATCTCCATCTTGTCTGTCTCTCCATCTAGTTCACTGTTTCTACTTTTCCTGAAGCTATTATTTGAAACAAAAATGTGATCATGCCAGCCCTTATATAAATAAACACTTTTGATTACATGGGATGAAGTTCAGACTCCTCAACCTGACATCTAATGCTTTTTATAATCTGGATCATCCTATCCTTTCAAGTTCTATTTTTAAAATAAATTATTACATATTGATTCTTCATATCCATTAAAATTTCCCTCACATAACATATACATTCCTATCTCTGGGTGTAGTACATGAAATTTCCTCTGCTTAGAATGCTCTTTGTTCACAGGCTCATTTCAACTTGACAAATTCCTACCCATCTTTCTAGGGCCATCTCAAGGGCTTCCTCCTCTGAAGACTCATGATTTGCAGACAATTTACTTGCTGCCCATTTTATTCTTTACAACACTATATGTATCCCTAGTAGAAAATTCTAGTCATCCAAAAGATATAATATGCAATCACCTGAATTTATGTCAAAGATGAAAGTACAACAGGAAAAGCTGTCCTTTCAATAACAAGTGCTGGGACAACTGCTAGAAGATGTACTAGAAGATGTTACAAGACATAAAGCTGACAAAGTTCCTTTATGTAGAATGTAAACAATTCCTATAAATCAGTAAGGAAAGGGTAGAAAAACCAGAAGATAGACAACAGACTTGGGCAATTAATCTAAAAAAGATACTTAAATGACCAAGAAATATATTTAAAAGTATTCAACTTAGTCAATGAAATGCAAAATAAAAATGAGAGACCACTATTTATTAGAAAAGTTAAAATTAAAAAAGAAAAAGACAGCCTCCAAAATTGGCAAGAGCAATCAGAATTATCATACATTGATGATGAAAGTATAAATTAGTACAACCACTTTAGAAAACTGTTTTGATGTTTTCTAGGAAGGCTCAACATAGATATATATGATCTAACAATACCCCTCCTAGGTATGAAGGGCTTATTATGTTAACCAAAAAAACTATGCACAGGAACGGTGACAGCACTATTGGATAATAGTTAAAAAAAAAAAAAAAAACTGAATAAAATTAAAATACCCATCAACAAAATGGAAAAAGTATAATACACTTGTGTGTGTGTGTATTTATACTTATACAGTAAAACATCATGCAACAAAAACAAATTAACTATAACTATATGCAACAACATAGATATATACAGCAAAAGGAGCTAACCACAAAAATGCACACTATATTCTTTCATACATTGTGTTCGTATAAATATATATTATATTATATATATTTTAACTGTATAAATATATATTTCCATGTTTATGTAAAATTTATTTTAGTATTTTTCTATACTCAATTATGCAAAGTTCAGTGGTTTAAAAAAGAATAATCAGAAATTAATTATTAAGCATTTTAAAAATAATTAAGAATGTGTACATATGAGAATAAGAAAGTTCCAGGTATTAAAACATACTTACAAAGATAATATAATCAAAACAGTGTGACATATGTGGATAAAACTAATCTTTGGTATTAAAAGGCAGAGATTATGGTTATAATTAAGGGGTATTAAAAGAAAAGAAATATAATAGAAGGGGGTTTCTGGTAATTTTATTCAATGGGTACTACTTATATACAAGTATGTTTATATTGCAAATATTCATTGATTTGTAGGTGATACTTTGAGTATTTCACTGGATAATCTAATATATATTAATATATGTTTACTGTATCTAGTATAGTAAATCTAAGAGATATATATGTAATACGTATTCTGTATATCTAGCAAGTATGAATAAAATTTACCAAAAATAAAATATAACATAGCTTAAATCATATCCCAATATGCATTCATGTTAAGGGTTCCAATTAACCCTTAGGAATGGAAAATAATAAAACCCAGAAGGCAATATAATAAAATTTAGCTATTTAAATGTTACATGTAAAATTTAAGTTAAGGGATGGGGTTTTAGCTCATTGATGGAGCTGCCTAGCATGTGCAAATTCCTGGGTTCAATTCCCATAACTACCAAAAGAAAAAATAAAGTGTTTACATTCAGAGAACAGAAAAAGCAAATCTGCTTGTATAGGTATAGGAGACCAAAACCTTACCAAGGAAGCTCTACGAGATCTTCGGCTCATTGGTTGATCAAATGGTGGACTGTTGATCTGAAACTTTTCCAGATATCCATCAGGTATTCTGATATCTGCAGGTAGGGATAACCGTTTATTTAAATCCTATAAAAAGGAAAAAAAAAGTAGGTAATCAAAAACCTAGGGCATTTGACTTGTGATTCATGGGCTTTAGTATATTATTTTTAAGCAATAATTAGCTAAAGTTTATTACCATTACAAAGTTATCTAAATTAATTATATATATTGAAGGCAAGATTATTACTGTTATAAGCAAAGGTGCACAATGCAGTTTTACAGAAATGATTTAAAACAGAATGGACAAATTTTGAAGTCATTTCATTAGTAAATTTATCTTGGATTTACTTTGAAATTATTATTCCATAAAATAGGAATAGGCAGATATCACAACATATGATCAATTTAAATAATTAAACAAGTAGATATTATGATTTTACATAAACATGAAAAGAAAATTAAAATGTTTTCTTATTGCTGTTAATAGAAGTAAAAGGCTTTCTATTTCATTTAACTATAAAATGTGAACTAAGATTAACTTCAAAGAAAAACTTGCTTCTATCATCACATCAAGAAATATAAATTCTATGAAAAGAATTTATTGTAAATCCTTTTATAATAAAATAATGAAAAACAAAAAGATATATAAAGGAACTGTATAAATATTTACTGAGAGATAAAAGACTTAAATGAATTATATTTCAAATGGTAAGACTAAACAATGAAACAATACTGATTTTTACCATACTAATTTTAGTATTTTATATTACCCAAAACAAATCCCAAGATTATCTTTGCAACAAAACAAAATGCCTAAAATTGCAACAAAACAAAATGCCTAAAACTCTAGAGAAATAGACAAAAATATTCTTGAATAAAAGCACAGATACTCTTCAACTTAACATGGGGTTATTCTGATAAACCAATTCTATATTGAAAATATCATTAAGTTGGAAATGCATTTAAACATACCTAATTCACTGAACATCACAGTTTAGCAACACAGAACACTGTAGAGTATAATAGTTTAATCCTGTGACTGCATGGCTAACTGGGAGCTGTGATACTGTATCACAAAATAGTATTATATTGCATATTGCTAGCCAGGGAAAAAAAATCAAAATTCAAAGTCTGAAGTATGGGTTCTACTGAATGTGTATTGATTTTTCACCACTGTAAGTTTAAAATCATCAGTTGACCCATGATAAATCATAAATAGAACATGTGTATATATGTTCAAGGGGGAGGAATACAGAAATAAATTTTTCTAGATACTAAAATAAATTAAACTTGGGTTGAGGTTGTGGCTCAGTGGTAGAGCACTTGCCTAGCATGTGTGAGGCACTGGGTTTGATTCTCAGTACTGCATATAAAGAAATAAAGGTCCATCAAAAACAAAAAAAAATTTGAAAAAACAAAATGAATTAAACTAATATATATATATAAAACATTTTCCCATATATTTGTTGACTGATTGTATATCCTCTTCTGAGAAGTGTCTGTTCAGTTCCTTGGCCCATTTATTGATTGGGTTATTTGTATTTTTGAGTGCTTTATATATCCTAGAGATTAGTGTTCTATCTGATGTAAGTGTGGTAAAAATTTGCTCCCATTCTGTAGTCTCTCTAGTCACCTCACTGATTGTTTCTTTTGCTGAGGAAAAACTTCTTAGTTTGAATCCATCTCATTTATTCTTGGTTTTAATTCTTATACTATAGGAGCCTTATTAAGGAAGTCAAGGCCTAATCTGACATGAAGGAGATTTGGGCCTACTTTTTCTTCTATTAGGCACAAGGTCTCTGGTTTAATTCCTAGGTCCTTGTGTTTTGTGCTTGATGAGAGACAGAGGTTTAATTTCATTTTGTTGCATATGGATTTCCAGTTTTCCCAGCACCATTTGTTGAAGAAGCTATCTTTTCTCCAATATGTTTTTGGTGCCTTTGTCTAATATGAGATAACTGTAATCGTGTGGGTTTGTCTCTGTGTGCTCTATTGGTCTACAGGTCTAATTTGGTGCCAATACCATGCTGTTTTTGTTATTATTGCTCTGTAGTATAATTTAACGTCTGCTATAATAATGCCGTTGGCTATTCTGGGTCTCTTATTTTTCCAGATGAATTTCATGATTGCTTTCTCTATTTCTATGAGGCATGTCATTGGGATTTGGATTGGAATTGCATTGAACCTGTATAGTGCTTTTGGCAGTATGATCATTTTGACAATATTAATTCTGCCTATCCAAGAACAAGGGAGATATTTCCATCTTCTAAGGTCTTCTTTAATTTCTTTCTTTAGCGTTCTGTAGTTTTTCACTGTACAGTCTTTCACTTTTTTCATTGATTCTAAGTATTTTTTTTTTTTTTTTTTTTTTTGAGGCTATTGTAAATGGGGTGGTTTTCCTAGTTTCTCTTTCTGAGGATTTGTCACTGATGTACAGAAATGCCTTGATTTATGGGTGTTGATTTCATATCCTGTTCCTCTGCTGAATTCATTTATTAGTTCTAGAAGTTTTCTGGTGGAATGTTTTGGGTCTTCTAGGTACAGAATCATATCATCAGCAAATAGTGATAATTTCACTTCTTCTTTTCCTACATACTGAAATGATAAGTCATAACTTCTGTCTTCAAAGTTATAACTGATAAACAAAGGGAAATGGGTTGCATAACTTATATAAGGAGAAATAATTTACATATTCTATAGGGATTTGGTAGGTGTAATGAATGACAGAGGAAATGATACTGATACTTATAAAGCAAGGGGGAAAATGGTGTCTATGGAAATATTCGGAATACAATTCATTAATATAAAGAAATACTTCTTAGAGGTGTCACTTACCTTCATGAAAATTTTCAAATGGGCATTTATGTGCTTGATAAACATGTGTTTATTTATATACATAAAAACATATACAAAGGTACACTTATATATTTTTAAATTGTTACCTCCATGGAGATTCGTCTATGTATACGATTTCTGAGACAAACACCTGTAGGTGACTGGACTTCATCAGATGATGTTCCAGAAGCTTGGTCACTCTCACCATCTGATCCCATTTTTAGATTTTCATGAACAATATCTACATCAGAAAATGAGACAATATTTACCTTAGAGAAGATATTTTATCCTACTATATAATTAATTATCATTACTGGTCAAATATAGACAACCAACATACAAAAAATCAGAACATTAAGGTCTTTTACAGTAAGATACATAGGTGTGCAGTTAAGAGATCAAAACATTAACTCAAATGTCTTCAAATAGAAATTACTAAGAAATCCTTTTACACTCACAGATTATAAAAAATTTATGAAAGAGTTAGCATTCAAGTCATTATCAAGAGCTGAATAACAATTACACACTGGAAATACAATTTAAACTTTTAATGAATAATAGTTACTTAAAAAGAGGACTTTAAAACATGGAACTCAACGGTTTCATGCCAAATTAATATTAGATTTTAGTTTATTTCTATATTTTTGTCTTGGTAACTCTCAATATTAAGAAAATCCCAATTCATATTCATAAGCAGTTGCAAATGATAATGGAAGATACTTCTATTACAAAGGGATTCTGAAGAAATTTTATGTTGAGATCTGAACAACAATTAACTTGGCAGCAAAAATCAATGTATTGGTAATTGATTCCTAATCTCTTAAAATTTGATACCAGACACATATAAGGTCATAATTCCTTTCTGCTACACTTAAAAAATGTTAAAGAATTTAACCATACCTTCTATTTCCAGAAAAATTTGAAAACTTTCCTTCCTCAAGGAAACGTAAACCAAAATATAATGCTTAAATATGTATAGCTGGGTTTGTAAGAATGTATAGGTAATACCCAGGAAACAAATTTTAAAAAGAGAGAAATAAAATTCAAAAATTCTCAAGCATAAACTGTCATTTTCTTGGTAGGGGCTGCTGAGACTGGTAAGAAAGTGCTTGTGTTTAGGTGCATACTGGGATAAAAATGTAAAGCCCTGGGTATCTAAGCTGCATTTGACCTCCCAGAAACACTCAACTCTTGTGAAAAAACTACAAAGAAAAGTTTCGTAATCTCATATTATGAATAAAAACTATCTGACTCAATCAAGAAAGCACGTCATTAGCAAACAAGTATAATTCAAACACAATTGCTGGTGGGTATTTTTGATTCCATCAAGACAAAAGTAAAACAATGAAGGTTTACATCAGAACTATACTAATTTGTCAGTGGGATAAGAAATTTCTTTGTTGAATCAGGTAATAATTTTTGAGAATAATTTTTACTTGCTCAATTTTTGTGCCATTCACTCTATTCACTTATCAACAGCTACAGATACAATAAACTTAATTTCATCTGCATTGCTAACATTTTCAACATCACTTTCTTAAATCTAGACCAAGAGTATAGAATAAGAATGGATGTTTCTGTATGGTTCCTGAACTAAAAATTTTTTTTTTGTTTTTATTTGCTTTGTTGCATTTTTAAAGGTTACTAATCAAAGAAAAAGAATATGCAACAGAGACTACAGTCCACAAAACTTAAAAAACATACAAACAAGCACCTGATTTAGACAATCAACAAACAAACAATAAGCTAAGCCCTAACCTGTAGTGTTTTCTGATTCCCTGGGGCAAACAATTCTCTAAAGCAGACTTCAAGCTGTCAACATGACACTGAATGTATAACAATGGGGAGAAACTCCACTCACCATTACATAGTATTTTGACTATAAAGCTACAATAGAAGTAACTCTTACAACAAAGATAATAGTAAAAAGTGGCAGAATAATTAGAAAGTAATGACTTTTGAGTATTCATTACTTTGTTTTTAAATTTACCTTAATTGCTTATATAATTGAAAATTAATAAGAGCCACGTTTCACAGGCAAAATTGCTAAAAATTTAAGAATCACCTCTCATGAACCAGTGTGAGCTGATTGCAGCACACAACTCTGTAGGGTTACACCTATACAGATAAAGGCTACACACATTACCCATAGATAAAAACTGTAGATTAGTTTATATTCCCAAAATTCATGAAACACATTAGGAAATAATCTGCCATGACAAGAAATAAAGCAAGCATAACTTGAACTTCAGTAAATAGAATTATCTTATAAAACAATAAGATGTTATGTTTAGGCAGGTGCAATGGCTGCACACCTGTAATCCTAGTGACTCAGGAGGCTGAGGCAGGAGAATTGCGAGTTCAAAGCCAGCCTTAGCAAAATTGAGGCACTAAGCAACTCAGTGAGACCCTGTCTCTAAATAAAATGCAAAATAAGGCTGGGGATGTGGCTCAGTGGTTAAGTGCCCCTGAGTTCAATTCCTGGTACCCCCAAAATATATTTTTTTAAATCGTTATGTTTAAAATGATTTTAAAAATCAAATCCAACATGAATTTTAAAAAGGACACCACCAAAAAAGATCAAGGAAGTAGACATAAAATAAACAGAAACTTTCATATATATATTTTTCCTGGATATTTAAAAGGACATAGTAATAAAAGAGTAACAACTTAAGTGATTATTTCATTATTGTAAAAGTCTATGGTGATTATTTCAAGAGTTACTGAGGTATGATTAAGCACCATCCTAAACTGCCATTCATTTTGAAATTTTATATCTCCTTTTTATGGGACTTGTTTACTTCCTGATGGACAGGTGTTCAAATATTACTTCTTTGTAGTGTCAACAATACTCTTTCTAGAACCTTCCCTTTTTCTGCTGTCCTTCCTACATTTAATTTGTTTTTTAACTGGCAAAGAGAAATCAGATAATAAAGGCTGGCTGTCTAAAACCTAAAAAACATACATGTTCTACAATCAGAAAGTTAGATATAATAGATAAATAACAAAATTACCTAATCTGCTTCCATTTCTGGGCATTGCCATGAAGGAGCCAAGGCTTCCTCCAATAACACTGTGGGGTCTCCGCAATGGGGGTTTCTTGAAAGATCCCGTGTATTGGTGGAGGAAGGAATGCATACTGTGAGATGTTGGAGGCCTGCCATTCTTCACTATAGGCTCTGTGGTTCACGGTATTTGAAAATCATTCCATCATCAGCCCAAGATTCAGGATCACATGAGAAGGATTGAGAAAGCAAAGCAGAAAACAAGAATTGTAACAGAGATCATTACCTTTTTTTTTTATTTTTTATATTTAGTTGAACATGGACACAATATCTTTGTTTTACTTATTTATTTATTTTATGTGGTGCTGAGGATTTAACAAAGTGCCTCACATGTGCAAAGCAAGTGCTCTACCACTGAGCCACAACCCCAGCCCCAAAAGATCATTATATTTAACCTCATTTCTATGATCATACACACAAAGCAGTAGAGTTAAAATAATTTCTATGAAAAACTATTTATATAAATATTTAATATTTTAAGTTGTTCTAATAACTTACCTATCCTTTTCTCATTAATAAAAATTGGTTAATAATCATAAAACTACTATAACCATTTTTATCCATTTGCTGATTTCAACATATCTCAAGATTGTTTATATTCCATTCCTCCATGTATTAACTACCTAGTATGTGCCTTATGTTTAAGCATGCTATAGAATATGGAAGATGTAATCCTGGCCTAAATGAATTTATATCCCTATTGCTAGACATCTAAAAAGGTGTGTCAATTAATGAATTAAACAAAAGTATTTAATATCATCAATACAAAGACTCTGAAATTACTGCCTCAAATTTGGGGGTGGCTTAGTGGTAGAGCACTTGCCTAGCATGTGGTTCAATTTTCAGCACCACATATGAATAAATGAATGAAATAAAGGTCAATTAACAATTAAAAAATATCTTTAAAAAAAAAGAATCTTTAAATAATCACAAGTCTATTACCAAGCAGAAATGTTCCTAAAATATAAGACTTAAAAATTATTTAGGCCAGGCACAGTGACGCATGGCTGTAATCCCAGCAGCTCTGGAGGCTGAGGCAAGAGGATCACAAATTCAAAGCTAGCCGCAGCAACTTAACAAGGCTCTAAGTAACTCCAGGAGACCCTGTCTTAAATAAAATATAAAAAAGGACTGGGGATATGGTTCAGTGGTTAAGCACCCCTAGGTTCAATCCCTGGAGCCAAAAATAAAAAAAAAATTTAGTTATAAATGGCAAAGAATGTGAACAAGACTTTGAAAACCTGTTTCAACGTTTTGAGTATAACCTTAGAACAGAACTGCTGGTTCATATAATAATTTTATACTTAATTTTTTGATAAAATGATATGAATTCATTTTTGACAATTTTTAAAAAATTAAACATTTTTAAAAATGATGTGCTCAGAATTCTCTATTCTTGCAAGTACTTTAAAAAATATATTCTACACTTCTGTTTAGTGTAAAATAATTTTTTATGCTAACAACAACACCAAACCTAAACTCCATAAGAAAAGAATGTGATGGAAGCAATTATCAGGCAAGATGTAGGATTTCTGTCAAAACTTTTGGTGAAAGCAAGGGAATAAGCAATATCAGATTGTGGTAGTCCATGATACCTGTAATCTCTGCAACCCAAGCTACCAGTAATCTTTACAATGTGTATTAAGATGCCTTCAAGTAAGTCTGGTCAAGAAGAAATTCAACAGAGTTTCTATTTTTTTCTTCTTTATTAACTGTCAAGGTTACTACTGTAAGAAGGAATTTTAATAAGGGAAACAATATATAATACTTTAAAACAATTAAATATTTTAAACATTTCACCAGGTTACAACTAAGTATGTTTTAATAAATGATACTAAAATGTTTCAGAACATATGCAATTAGTCCAAAATATTAACTAGCTCTCAAAGTAGGTTCATTTTCTTTAAGTCATAGCTTTTTTATAAAAGAGGTCTGTCTTGTAGTCAAATACTCATTAAGATATGACCTATCCGGGTGTCATGATGCATGCTTGTAATACCAGTGGCTAGAGAGGCAGAGGCAGGAGATCAGCTGAGGCAGGAAAATTGTGAATTCAAAGTCAGCCTCAGCAATTTATCAAGGTACTGAGCAACTACGCAAGACCCTTTCTCAAAAAAAAAACATAAAAGGGGCTGGGTATGTGGCTCAGTGTTTAAGCGTTTCTGGGTTCAATCCCTGGAATCCCTGGTACCAAAAACAAACAAACAAACAAACCAGTGCCCTAGTCAGGTGCAGTGGTTCATGTTTATAATCCTTACTACCTGGGCAATTGAAATAGGAGGATCACCAATCCAAGGCCACCAATTTACCAAGACTATTTCAAAATAAAAAGTAAAAAGAGTTGGGTATACAGTCCAATGGTAGAGTAGCCCTGGGTTCAATACCTAATACTACCCTTCCCCCACCCATAAATATGTCCCAGAAACACAAAGATGCATACTGTGCTTATTTTATTCCTAAATATCACTGGCAAACATAATGGCAAGACTCTTCTATCATAAAAATGAACACACTGAGCTGAGAATGGTGGTGCACACCTGTAACCCCAGTGGCTCAGGAGGCTGAGGTAGGAGGATCACAAGTTTAAAGGTAACTTCAGCAATTTAGCAAGGTTCTAAGCAATTTAGCAAGACCCTGTGAGAAAATTTTAAAAAGGACTAGAGATGTTACTCAGTGGTGTCGAAGCACCCCTGGGGGTTCAATCCCTGGTACCAAATAAATAAATAAACAAACAAACAAAAACCCCCAAACACATTGGATTTAATTAATACCAAGAATACAATGGATTTCTTGAAGAAAATTAGGATTTTGCTTCAGGTATCTAGCTGATATTGTCTTATAAAAAATAGATTATAAAATACATTTTGGGATTTGATCCAAAGGCAAAATTTTCTCCTCCTATATGTAACTATATCCCAGTTATTATTTTAAATTTCCTAATAGCCCCTCTTCTGTCCCACTTTAAAAACAAAAAGTAGATATCAAGAAAGTCTCAGTAGAACCTAGGAGATCTGGGAGAACAGATACAATGTTATAGACTTTGAAGCAAAGAAATCTAGGTTGTAAAGTACTGGCTCTGCCAACAAGATAGGTATCCTTGAATAAATAGTGACCTTTCAGAGGAAAAGAAATAAGGTATCTGAAGCCCTGGTAGAATAAATTACTTACCTGGAGTTATCCAACCAAGTGTTTCAGTATATTAAATCCCAACCCATGACTTGTAATTTAAAATGCAGAGCCCTTTCCACTACACCTTTCCCTCTCTTACAACACAAGCATTTACATGTATAATGGGAAGGGTGATGGTGTTCATGTTTTTACCCACTGCCACAAATCTCTAAACAGCAGAATTTCTGCATAGTGAAAGAAGGCTTGCCAGAGAGTCTGCATATCATGACACACTGGTAGCCATTCGTGTAAGCTCCTTTCTGATAATTATAACATTCTTAGGGTTATTTTCATTTGAATTGTAGCCTTGTTCTAAAAATGCCACTGAGTTTACATTTTAATTTATTTACTTTAACAAGCTCTTTATTTTATTATTTAATCTGTGTACTAGTACTTTGAATTAAAAAAGGACTGTCAAAGCATGAAACATTATATGCCTACCTGCTGTATGTGTTCTCAATACTATGGATAGACTCTGTGGTAAACATAAAATTAAAAAACAATAAAATTTACTCATGATGAACCTTATAATGTAGTAGATAATCAATATGCATATAGAATGTTATAAAACTTTAATGAGACCACAAATTTCCAAATCTTCTATAAATTTTTAAGCTGTATTAATTCAGGTTATAAGAATAGCAAAAGTACTTAAATGTTAATATAAAAATAGTTGTTTAACAATTAAGATAATATTATGCAATATATTCTTATTTATGAACTAGTAAAAAACAGAAATGTGGGATGGAATAATTCATTATGGCTTGAGACAGGCAGAATAACAATGTTGGATTGAAAGTGGAATATTCCAGTAAGCAAGCCCAAGAAAGTTATACAATCTTCTGTTTCCTAAAACACCAGGGAATGAGACAGAGAAATAAAAGGACATTATTATGACTTTATCTAGACAGTAACCTGACATCGTTTATGAAGTAATTAAATGGGAGAAGCATCTCCTCCATCCCAAATATTTACCATTATCCTTGCTGCTGTTTTCTTCAATAGTCATTTGTTCAGCTAATTCAGATAATGATTCATCAATAGTCTGGCTTCCTCGAAGAGTGAGGGATAGCCTTCTCTTAAACTTTTTCATCCTATCAATTGAACGTGGCTTGAAAAATCCTGAAAGAATGAACACAAAAGCAAAGTTAACAATATTTTACTGTTCAAGAAAAAAAATTTCATTCTGGGTTTACTGGGAATCTTCAAAATAGGAATATAATGAGGAATTTTTTACTTCATGAAATATCTCAAAGTCCAACCTTTTGTTTAAAAAGATGCATCTACTAATTAATGCCATATTTGTTTGACATCAAAACAAAAGTAGGAATTCTACACAATTAAAATAATTCAAACATAATAATGAAATTTAGAAGGCCTAGAAATTTTCTTAAAATGTACTTTCTAAAATTCAACAATGAAAATATTAATACTATTTTGATTTTTATGTTCTATCCTTGCAAATCACAATCATATAGGAACCAGTCAGCAGATGCCTTCAGAAATAACTAGGGGTTAAGAAAGGTAAAGAGGGAAGGATAAAGAATAACTTTTGACATTTTACTATCTCATTGTCATATATTAGCAAAAATTCTCAAAGTTACCTGGTCCAAGTCAGACAAATAACTAACAATAGAATTAAGACTTAAAAACAGGATTGCCATTGACTTTATCCACCACATTATAACATCTCTGAAATCAGGATGTATATCACAATTAACAGGATGTCAAAGTGTAATTAAAAGCATTTTTTTCCTTCTTATAGGTACACAAATCAATGATAAAATTCATTGTGGAGTCTTACAATGATGAAACAAGGTACTTGCTGCCAAACCCAATTCTTCAACTATTTACCCATCACTGCTTTTCTGACTTACTATCTGACTTGCAATTAGCAGGTTTACCAGATCACCATTAACGATAACCATTATTCTTAATAAAAGTAAGGGCCTTATAAACGCCTTTATGCTAAAATACATGTTTTACCATCCACCTCTGTTTACCTAATTTCTGTCTGTGTTTTTCTTATTTTCTGATTCTAAGGCTCTATTCTAAATAGCCGAGTTTGCTGAACAGGTGACTTCTGCATAAGATATTAGTTATGTAATAATTTTTGTTTGCTCAGAAGCTGAATGAAGTGTATAAAGTTACAAATTTATAAGTAGTAATAACTTTGTACTTTCCCACCTCAATGTTATATGTTTACTATAGTTTTTAAAATAAACACTACAATAAAAATATATAATCACAAATATTTAAATAGCAAGAATTGCAATTACATTATAATAAAGACTCTTTTCACTCCTAAGTTCTAAAACAGGAGATGGACTTTGGTGAATTATTGGAAAACTTCCATGCCTTAGCTTGGTTTGGTCATAACAACAAAAGGACAAATACATTCTACTGAACATTTTCTATTATTTTATCTTTGAGGTTACTATTCCTCTTTCAACTGTGTCTAACCTGCAATTAAACCTATCTACTGGGTTCTAAATTTTAGTTACTACATTTTTTTTTCAGTTTCAGAACCTCCATTTAATTCTTTTCTATAGATTCCACTTCTCTAATGAAATTCTCACTCTCAGCATGTATTTTCATAACTACTTATTGTGTTTTAATGCCTCCATCTGAACCTCGAAAGTATGTACAATCTGTATCAATACTATTTTGATGCTTTGATCTGTTCCTGTTCTTGATTTTTTTTCTCTTGCTCTTGTATATCTAGCAATTTTTTATTGACTGCCAAGCATTATATGTGAATGATTTTATGAAATGCCTATGGGGAAAAAATGTAGAGGTTCTGGATGCCGTTACCTTCCTCCAAAGAGAATTTAATTATTTTCTAACAGTCAGGCAAAGTAGGAGAGCAACGGATCAACTCAGTCCAATCAGAAACAGAGATTGCTTGAGACTGAGTTTTAACACTATAATAAAGATTGACCTGCCTGTGCTTTGTCCTCTTTCTTATGATACAGCCCTTCAACAGATTCCATCTGTAACCCTAAGCCAGAATAACTACCAAAACCTCCATGCAGGGCTGGGGCTGGGGCTGGGGCTGAGTGATAGAGCATTCGTCTCACCTGCGTGAGGCACTGGGCTCAATTCTCAGCATCATAGAAAAATAAATAAATAAAATAAAGGTATTCTGTCCATCCACAAACTAAAAAAAACATTTTTTAAAAAAAGCTCCATGCAACTTCTGCAGTTGCTTTTTGCTTATATTTTATGTCCTACTCAGCTTTTATCCTTTTTCTCTACACAGCTTAAGAGAAAACACAGGAGAAACCCCAGTACAGAATGTGTCTGTCTTCCTTCTCTCCTGATTCTTAAACTGACTCAGCAGCTCTACAATACCTTCAAAATGATTTTAATTCCCTAGCACTTCTAGTACTTTCAGCAGAAGCCTTAATCTTCTACAAGTCAGTTCATAGGCAAAAATGGAGGTTTGATGTGGATTTTTAAGACAATATAACACAGGTATTGTACCAAGCCAGAGGTGGTCAATGAAAGCAAAAGTTGAATCCATGGGTTGGGGCTGAAGCTCAGTGGCAGAGTGCTTGCCTAGCATGTGTGAGGCACTGGGTTCAAGTCTCAGCACCACATAAAATAAATAAATAAAGATACTGTGTCCACCTTCAACTAAAAAAAAAAAAAAAGAAGAAGAAGTTGAACCCAGAAAAGAAATCTGTTCAGTGCAGGGATGTCCTAAATGCTATTTCACATCTGACTGTCAACCTTGACAATGATCAATGCAATTCATTTAAACATACTAGATATTCAAGATGAACCAAGCTGTGTCACTCTCATCTACCCTCTTACTTAAGACTTTACACTAGAGAGAGTCCCTCTAGGAAGTCATCAAGCATGATAACTGTGTCAACCCCACTCTTTAAGAAATCTATATTCCCCCAAACTCCGAATAGCTTATAACCACCAACTTTTTAGATACCAACCTTCTCAAATACAGTCATGTGGTTACTGATGTCTAACCAACTATATAGACAACATTTTGGAATCTGGGAATACAATTTTTTAAAAATTGGGAAAAGCTATTTCAAAAATTTTCAAAACTGGAACCTGCCTATTGTTCTAGATAACAAATAAGAATAAAATTAACAAAGTATAATTAATATTATTAAAGAATTGATTCACATAATGACCAATTATATTTAGATTCAGTATAAATTATACAATAAGAGTATAACTACTTGAAACAGCAGCCAAAAGCCAAATGTGACAAATAAGCACCTGAAAAATGGTTAGTCCAAAGTGAGTTCTGCCATAATGTAAAATATATATTAAATTTTAAAGACTTAGTAGGAAAAAAGAATATAAAATAACTCAATAATTGTAATCAAAATCATAGAAAAAGAAAACAAAAATGGTAATTGCTGGGGAAGGAAAAGAATGGGAATTATTGATTATCAGGTATAGAGCTTCAGTTTTATAAGATAAAAAGAATTCTAAGAGATAGATAATAGTGATGGTTGCAAAACAATATGAATTTTTTTCATACTAATGAACTAAACACAAAAATAGTTAAGATAGTACACGTTAAATGTATTTTTAAAAAGCCAAAAATGCTTAGTATTTCACAAAATTGTAACTTTAATTGTTCTACTGATAATGCTGAAAAGATAGTTTAGATATGTTTATATATTTTATATATTTATATAAAATATACAAATATATATTTATGTTTAGATATATGTTTAGATATATTTACATAAAATATATTAATAAATTAAATCCATCTTTAAAAAAACTTTAAAAATATGCCTTCAAAAATTTTTAAATTATATATAGGGTGCACATTATATTTCTATTAAACATGCTTATATAGAGCATCAAGAAGTATTTCTTTGTGGGATAGCAAAAAAAAAAAGGAATGACATAAACTTTAACCTTTGCTTCATGCAGTGTATCTGAACAACGGTATATATTAGGGATTGTTCTATTTATTTATAACTCAGAATAGTTCACATTTATCATCAAAAAGCATAGGAAATTCTGGTCTACAAAATAACTTTTAAAATACTTTTACTATCAGAAATAAGAGACATTTTTAATTCATAAAAGAAAGACAGAAATATGTCATTATAAAAGCTATACCTGACTACAAAATTTTCAAATAAAAGCACATATTCAAAAAGGTCCTATTCTTATCTTACATGATCTTTTAAAATAATAATGATTTATAAACAGATGGTAAAGAATTTCATTACCAAAACCAAAACCATTATTAATAAAAAAGTATTTCCAAATGAAAATCACTAAAAATTTTTCTAATTATCTTTAATTAGAATTTATCAACTTTATTTTCATTAGCTCAGAACAAAAACATTCAATGCTAAAATAAAATACTTTTTGTGAAGCAGCTATTTATATTAGTTTTAAGGTTTAATTTTGTTATTTATTATATTTAAAAGGCAATGCTAAATTATTAATTTCCTAAAATAAAAACCCTTAAGAGTTTGGGTTAAAATATTTTATCTAGTTGAATAGGAAAAAATTTTGAGATCAGTAAGAGTCTTTATATATTATTTCTATGCATTAGACAGGTTAATAAGGTAATTTGTGGTGATTTTTTAATTTTAAGTTAGTTTTATGTTTAATTCATGCCACTTACAAAGATAAACGTTTTCACAAGACTGAGTCTGTAGCTCAGTGGTAGAGCGCCTGCCTCACATGTGTGAGGCAGTGGGTTTGATCCTCAGCACCACATAAAACTAAATAAATAAAGATATTGTGTCCATCTACAATCTAAAAAATATCTTTTAAAAAAAGATGTTTTCACATTTAAAAATAACATGCTGCAGCCACGTGTGGTGGCGCACACCTGTAATCCCAGTGACTCAGGAGGCTGAGACAGGAGGATCTTGAATTCAAAGCCAGCCTCACCAAAAGCGAGGTGCTAAGCAACTCAGTGAGACCCTGTCTCTAAATAAAATACAAAAGAATAGGCCTGGGGATGTGGTCCAGTGGTTGAGTGCCCCTGAGTTCAATCCCTGGTACCAAAAAAAAAAAAAATTAACATGCTGTAGTTTTAAATGAACCCTGAAGAAAAGCTCCACAATTGTTTTGCTTTAATATTTTAAAGACTTCAACAGACAATAGTATGG